TTTAATTTCTTCTCATTCGCCTCATTCTTTTATTTTATTAATATTGTGCTCCGGATTTTGTGCTTTATGTGTGCATGTATACGAGTACACATTGTTCAAGTCATTAACGGTTATGACTTGAATTCCAACATTTTTATTTCCTTTTTTTTCTTCTCTATTTTTTTTATTGTTTTTCCGTTATTTTCGTTTTCTTGAAGCTTTTTGAACATGCATTTTTTCTAATTTGTCCAGCTCTTTTTTCAATGCTGCTCAAGCCTCCTGTTGATGCGCAAACGATTCCGTTGTCGTTTCCCTTCACATTGGATGGTCTTTAAAAAATTTGTTTTCAAAGTAATGCGACTCTCCCGCCTGGCAACGGCAACGGCACCACCATTCACAAAACTTGATTAGTATTCCGGGAATTTCGTGATCCTTCAGGCTTTCGAAAGTATTTTCACAGAATACTTGAACCGAACGGACGACGAAAACCATTTACCGAGTAAATCCTCTGTGTCTCTTCTTTGGAATACTATTTTAGGTCATCTTAACGGCATTTTCAATGGAGGTGCTTTGTCAATGAGTCGGACTTCGTCATGTTGATGACAATAATAAATGCATTCCATCAAAAAAGGAAAAAAAAAATTACTGGGGCAAATCTTATGCATACCGAAAGAAGAATACAGATCGGATCAAAGTTCATGTTGAAATCTTCATGTTAGGCCATTTCAAACAAGTGAAATGTAAAATTTCATATACGAAAAGTGATGTGTGTGTGTGTGTGTGTGTGTGTGTGATTCATTATTTACGCAATTTCAAAGCTGAAATCCAGTTTGAGGGGCAGCTTAGACGCACAAAACGAGTCGGCACGACTAAGCCGTAAACACCAAGTGGAATGTAGCCCTTTTAAATGTGTGCGAACATCATAATCACCATTGTTATTGCATTAATAATCATTGCGATTGATGTGAATTTGCGAGCGAAATGGTTCAACATACGAAAACACATTCTCTGTGTCGCTCATATCAAAGGCACATCACAACATCACATTCTTTGGCAAACTTAATCGGATCTTTGCTGTTTGCCACCCAGTTCGTTTTGCCCTGCAGAAAAAGAAAATGTGCGAGTATTTATGTGTGTGTGTATGTGTGCCACGATTTCTTTCATCCGAGTGTCTGTAAATTATTCTTTCGGAAATGCTTGAATATGCCGCTCGCATTGATACATTGTAGCAAGGTAGGTTTCTTTTGATTATGTAATTTTTTGCGTGCGCTTCACTCGCCAACGAACACACCAACCATCCAACACATGCACACGTAAATGTGAGATCGTTTGTGAATGAAAAAAAACCGACAGAAGAAGTTTCATCATTAAACGTAAGTGCACTTGGTACAATCGAATTTTCTCATTTGTGCCAGAGCAGCACTTGTGTGCTTCATCAAGCCCAATTCTCACACGACAAAGCGCAATAAAGCTTATTCAATTCCATTCCCATCGTTATATCCGTCTCTCACACCTTTTTGTCGCTTTGCGGATTTTCATTTGCGATCTTATGAATTTGTGCCACGCAAAGAAAGGATAAGAGGGATAAAAACACAAATGTACTTTTACATTCTAAGAAGAATGCTCTCTCTTTTCCACCCTCGCTCGTGTACACCTCTCAAAACAAAATACACGTTGTGTTGAATTTATGTGTTGATGTGGTTTTTCGTTTGAATTATAGCGTTTTGATTTGAGGTGCATGAGCGCGTGGGCACACGCTCATAAACCAGGCGCGCCAGCACAATCTCTCACACACACACACTTATATACATATAAGGGTGACTAAACACGAAAAGTTAACAGAAAGACAGAGAGAGCGAGAGAAAGCAGTAAGAAAAAGAGAGTATCCGCCATAAACATAATACTAATTTTGTATTCATTATCCAAAAATTATTGCAATGGATTTGAATTGTACGTGCCTTTTAAAATACACTTTATATGATTTGCACGTATGTTACACAATATGATTTGAATATATGAGCTGTGGGCACGTGAGTGAATCTTGTTCTTTTATATTTTTTTCTATACATTTTTTTTGTTATTATTCGCCATTCTGCCGACTCTTCATTTGTCGATGTAATGGCTGATTTAAATTTTGAACTTGGGAAACACGTGCTTAATGGATTTGGCTTGCGCATACCATAGAGCTAATGTCTCGATATATTTTTCTTACAAGTCACACAGTTGTTTGGTCGCTATATGTGTGTGTGTGTTTGTGTGGAAGCATTCTTGAATGGGATTTGCGGAGGAGATGAATAACATCATCGTGTTCACATCATCGTATCGAAGACAACGACGAGAGAAAGAGAGCGAGAGCGAGTGAAGAAAGACGGAATAATAATCCATTTGTGAAAGCTCTAAATAAAGGTAAAAATTTATCTACGTGGAAATCTCGGAAACACGTCTACACACCCATAACACAAGGCTAAACACAATTTGGTTTCCGAAAAAAAAGAAGAGAAAAAACATTCCTTTTCTTCTCACGGTCGCGCCAAAATTCATTCAATGTATGATATGCACAGATATCCGACGATTATTCCACAGTCATCATATCAAATATTGTCTGATGACAAAGAAGCTTCATTATATGATAATTAGACGGCAGCACTGAATTACCTACGAATTACCTGCGTATTACCTGCGTATTACCTACGTACGTATTCATTAATGCCTAAATGGAATATAAGACGGTAGAAGTACGTAACATTGGAAATTTACAGCGTCTTTTATGCGATCGTAAAGAAAAAATTTGTTTTCATTTCAGGTGTGTTGAATAAGGGCAAGAGAGCGCGCAACATCCGCTAGTCCTAATGTAATTTTAGTCTGAAAACATTGAAAACGAGCAACAATGAAATCGTTCACCACATTTCGATAGAGGGACAAAGATATAGTATATAAGTATTGGACTGTATGTTTTTCTTCTTACAATTTTTCGTTCGATAATCGTGGGTGTTTTTGTCAATGTCATCTAATGCTAAAGCTACCAACTGTACTGAATTTTTCAGTACACTAATAAAATTCGTAAAAAAATTTCGTGTGTCGGAAGCAAATTCTTGTTTACACATATGGAAAGAGGAAGTCCCAAGGAAGTTTTCTATCTGATCAGATTTCCCGGAAAAGTCACTGGAGCCAAAATATGGCCTCATATATAATTTTAGGCTCATTTTCAGTACATTTTATTTTTACAAAATCTTCCATATTTCCCGAGTTTTCCAAGATTTTCCAACTATTTTCATTTTATGAATGTACGATCGTAAGCTGAAAACGAATTCAAGAAAATTTCCCAGAAAATTGCAAATTCTGGAAAATTTTCCGAAAATGAACATATCGCTATAGAAGTTGGTAGCCGGAGGCCGAGATTTGGGGCCTAAATCCAGCCGTTTCCGAGATATTGCGAAAAAAACTGGCTTTGGTACTGAATTTTTCAGTATACTGGTAGAAAATAGTTGGTAGCTTTATCTAATGCCGAGTCGGCCAATGCCAGTCGAAGACGAAGCCGCAAAACCCAGGGAAAAGAGAGTGACAATGTCTCTAATGGCGATATTTGTACGGCAGTTGAATGAATTCTACTGAAAAATCACTCGCAACCCAGATTACACAATGTTACTGTGCTCTAAATTGCGTATAATTAACTGAGTGCGTATACGGATCATGTGTAAATTATATTGGCTTCTTAAATCTTAAATTGGCACAGCAAAAATGTACCTTATTTTCGTTGAACAACGAATTTTAACACGTCCATGTATTCGCTTACATTTTTAATTTGAATTTATTCCTAAATCGATTCGAGTGCTGCAGTTGCTACTGTTGAATGGATACCGAATGAATCGTCTAATGTGAATTTTTCACTATCTCTTTCGAAATAATTCAACCTGCAGTACATCTCACAGCTTCAGACATTCACTTCCTTGGTAATAATGGCTTGCTATGCTCTCTGAAGAGCGAGAGAACAAATCAAGCATGTATTTTCCAAGAAAATACCGAACGCAAGCGAAATATCATGTTTCATGCTTTTGCGTGTATGTAAACCCGTGTGCAAATAAAGTGACTGACAGTCATTCAGTTGTATGTAGCTGCAAATAACTAAAACTGGCTAAGTTGATTGAATTCAAGAATGTTGTATAGAAACAATCACTTTTAGTTATTCTTTCAGCCAGCCGTCTAATTTCGGACTTTTTGGCTACTAGATGACTATAACTGAAGTTGACTACAGTCGAATATTTTGTTCGAGATAATCACTTTTAGTTACTGATAGTCAGCCAAAAAGTCCGAAATTAGACGGCTGGCTAGTCAGTCACAAATTTTTCATACGGGAAGCAACAGCACATTTGTTGTTTTAAATGTTGAATGAAGCAAAAAAAAAGGGAAGAGAGCAACCGTACCAGTGGCGGTATTCTGGAACACAATCCGCAAAAATAATGCGGAATTATTCCGAGCGATCAATTGTATTTTGGAAGGTGATATCCAAACGTTCAATCAATAAAAAAGAGACAAATCCACATATAACGTTTGGATATCACCTTCCAAAATACAATTGATCGCTCGGAATAATTCCGCATTATTTTTGCGGATTTTGTTCCAGAATACCGGCACAGGAGGCGAAGTGACGACAAGCCAATCGAAAAGTTCCGAAATTTAGGTATGCCGAACCGTATGAAACGCGACGCAAAGCACTCTTTTCAAGTACCATACAAAGTGTATGAATTTATGATGCGTTCACATGAACTAATTAGATTTGTAATTCAATCTAACAAGTTTCAAATGTTTGAAATTCCGCAAAACGATGTTTGCCAAGAGAAGAAAAAGTGACGTGGAATAAAACCAAACAATTTTAAACCCATAATCACTGATTAATTTGCATATAAAAACGAAGATTTTAGTATCTATTGGAAACCGATTCATCGATCGAGCTGCTCCTGTAACCATTTTTCAAATGAGAATAAAATACAAACAATTTAAAAAAAATAAACATTAAATTTATTGCTTTCCACTGTGATTGTCATCGAATGATTGAATACACTTGAGCTCCTAGTTAATATTATGTTACAACCTTTGAAAATCATTAGCTATCTACAATTATTCAGCCATATCGTACAAATGTTATCAAATGATTTGTTTTTGAAACTTTTAAACTAGGCAACAATGTGCAACAGCATCAGTCAAATAAATTTACCTTATGAAATATATTCATTCTACTATGATCATGCGAAAAATTTGTTAAATATATTATTTTTTTATTGTTTTGTGTTTGTGTCCCTGATATCCAGATGAGGGTCACACAAATGGACGATGTTTGTTCATTGCTTGAATCCAGTTCAAGCGATAGTTGTATTGCTGTCGTAGAAAATAAAAAAGAATCGTTGTTCCAACTGGTCATTTAATTTGCCTTCAAAATGATTAGAATCTCCTCTAAGCTTTTGCCCTTAGTCTCTGGCACAAAGATTAATAAGTAAACGACGGTGACGAAACAGCAAATTGAAAAGATGTAAATGCAAGCGTATAGTCCAATCATGGCCAAAAGTGATGGGAACACTTTGACCAAAACAAATGTAAGTGCCCATGAAATGCTGAAGATGAATGTTGAACCAACGCTTCGAATCTAGATTTTAATGAATGAGAATTAGTTGAGGGTAAGTGCTATCGAATATAGGTTCGGGTGTTTAAGTGTTCTAAATCTAATCAGTTTGACTCACTTTGTCTGGTAGGATTTCGGAAATCACGACGTATGGAATTGGGAGAGCACCGCATGATGCAATGAATATCATGGCGGAAAAGCTGACAACAGGTACCCATTGGTAGGCTTCGAGATTGATATCGGTTGAACTGCTCAAGTAAATATATGTAGCCAAAAGTGCGTGACTTATTCCAGTACCAGTGAATGAAATCAACATGAGGAACTAGCAAATGAGAATAATGGCATATTTCAGTTTTTTTTGCTTTTGAATACCGTTGCGCATTTAAATGAAATGCAAAAAAAAAATTTGCTTTAAATGCTTAAAAAAATCATTGTTATGCAATGGAAAAAAAGATGTTACCTTTCGGCCAAGTCGATCGATCAAAAGTGATGACACGTATGTTCCAATGAATTGAATGACCCCAACAATGATAGACGAAATTCCGGGTGACATCTTTGAACCGGATTTAGCAAAAATCATGCCAGCGTACGAGCACATCGTGAAACCGCCACAAAACTCATGAGCGACCATTATAATGCAGCCAATTGCGAATGGTTGATTGAAGAAATCACTCATGGTCAATGGTGTATTTGATGCACTATCCAAATGTTTTCGTTGCATTTCCGTGTATGAATATTTCAATTTCGATAGTTCATATTCAAATGATTTATTATCGGATACGGCGGCATTTGGCGATATGTTGCGATAGAAACGAAGTGATTTCTCGGCTTCCTAAATTTTATGAGAAAATAAATATTTTTCCAATTAATTTGTTGTTATTGTGTCTGACGAACACGAAATACCAGAAAAAAAGTGAAAGAAAAAGGAACATCGGTCAAAGCCGAACCAAACAAAGGAAGAAAAAAAAAGTGTGCAAAAGTTGAACGAACCTCCATGCGATTGGTTTTCATTAAATAATACGGAGTTTCGGGCATAAATGAGAATAATGCGATGTACAAAATGGGGAACATCAAAGCAATTCGCGGTGTCTCGGCATATTCAAGAAAATGACCGGCAACAAAACCAAGCAATACTCCGCCAGTCGATCCAAGCACCAATATTGTGCACAAAGTGCCGCGAATTCTGCAAGAAAAGAAAGAAGAAAACAACCAAATTAGACATAAAACAACCCGCTGTTAATTATTGGTTATAGAAAGAAAAACATGGTTTGTTGCTACTTTGACCACTTCAAAAAGCAGTTCAAAGTGCGACGATTTGCACAGATTCAATTGCTTGCGTCGATTCACTGTAATTTGTTCAACGAACCGGTATTTGTATCGGTTGTGTATGGCACGCTCAGCGAATTTGCAATTTCATTTTTCGGTTTTTGTGGTTTCATCGCCGATCACAGCCAGAGAGGAATTTAACCCTCTAATGCATACAACCGCCTCTAGACGAGCAACATTTGAATGCCTGTAGAACGTAAACCGTACATCGGATCACATTGCTTCAAAGAGAATTTTTATTTGTCAATGTTTTCTCTTTATTTTTGTCTTTGGCAATATTTGTCTATGTAGTCTAATTGTAAAGTTATAAACAAAAATGTGTGCAAAAACAAAAATTTGACAAAATAAATTATTCGAACTTCAAATTAGACACATTTTTGACACTTTTAAACAATGGATTTGATTGTTCTCTGATTTATGTCAATCGCATTTCCTGACTAAACCATGAGGAATCCAGGATTATGAATATTTTTTTTTTTAAATATCTATGGCCAAAAATCAACCAAGTACCAGTACTCCCAGCTCTGGGAAAAAATTAATGCATTAGAGGGTTAAAAACAGGAGAGAAAAAAAAACGCGCACAGACAGACACTCAAGCGATTTTTCATGTGAACATACCTGTCTTCAGATATTTCAGCCACCATCATTGGAATCTATGGAATGAATATACTTTAATACTTTGTCGGTTTTTGCAGTAATTTTATAGGTTTTCACAAACTGATAATTACCACAACAAATACGGCACCGCCTACGAAACCCACCAAAAAGCGCGATGCATACAAGTAATACACATTTTGGGCATAGACAATCAATAAATAGCTGATCTATATATATATATATATATATGAGAGGGAGAGAAGGAAAACCAAAAATTTATAGTACAAATCGAGTCGCATTGAGCAGATTAATTTTCAGTTCGAATTTTGCTTACAATTTGCGGCACCGCCATTGCGAGCAATGAATTTTTGCGACCGATTCGATCGGCAATCCAACCCACGGCTACAGTCCCAATCAAACCGCCGATACCAAGTATGGAACCAATCCATGCAATTTCATCCATATCGACTCTTCCCGATGGTAATGGACAATCGTCGGAATCGTATAACAGAAATGCGCTTGCATACCATCCAACCGATAAACCATAGCCGATTGTGCATAAATTCACTTTAAATTTTGAAACGGAAGAAAGGGGAAAAAATGAATATATTTTAATACTTTGTCGGTTTTTCCATTAATTTTATAGGTTATTTCACAAATTGATAATTACCACAGATACAGGCTAAATATTGATAGAGTGCACTGCCCATTTTGTTTGGTGAATTTAGATTTTTTTTTCAGTTTAAAATCAAATCAACTTTATGCAAACACTTGTGCGTGTTCGATTGTAGTATTTTTCCGTTAAATTGAACAACGGCTCGTTTGAAGAAGCACATAAAATACTTGAAATGTAGCGAAAAAAAAGAGCACACTTGAACGTCGCTACAAAAGGAATTGTTCTAAGGTAAACTAAGTAAATTTGTTCAGTTTTGTACAACTTATTCTCGATTAGCTTCCGAATCGATTTGCGACGTTAAATCGGTTCGGTTTTTATTTGTCTATTCTGGTTTTGCTTGTTAAGTTTTTTATTTCTCTCTCCAGTTGTTCTTCTGTTAGTCACTTATTGTATTTTTGTCACAACCAATGTGTGCTTTCCGAAGATGTTCAAACGCAGAAAACACGAAAAAAAATTAGAAGAATTCCCTGTATGTGAACAAGTGGAAACACAATTGTTTTTTTTTTGGATCACGCTTAATTAACTTCTAGTTTGATACTAACGCGTTTCAATTATGAGCTTAATTTGGCATTTTTTTGCTTCTTTATATATCGTTTAGGGCGAGATAGAAAGAGCATGAACTAGAGAGATCATCGAATTGTAACAAAGACAATGATGAGTTATTGTGCGATATGAGCGAGTGAGCGCGCGCACACGCAAATCTAATCGAAAAGTACATGTGTAATGTTGTTGTTCGCGTTTGTACTCTCGCTCGTATCGTGCTTGTCATTGTTGTTGGTATTTTCTACCTCCTTGGTTGCTTCGGGAGTTTATCTGCTGCTGTATCGTTTTTTTTTCTTCAGTAGTTGTAGGAGTAATACATACATTTTTCTATCATGCGTTCGCGCAGTGGCTGTGCTTTTGCATACATGTCGCACACAGCTTTAGAAAAAATATACAATTTGATACATGGATCCATCAACTGTATAACCAATTGTTGTACACCATAACATATACATCGACAAAGTATGGATAATTTGCGTAAAACGGAAAGAAGATGACAAACTAGCGTCACAAAATAATCAACAGCCTCAGCGGTTTGCCACTTAAATGATGAGCACACACACACACGTTTTGAGAAGATAACCACTAATAATGCTTAGCCGATGACGATTTCCATACACAGCCATAAAAGAGTAAAGCAATAATAATCAACAGCCTCAACCAATATTCAGTTGCATCACACATGTATCGTTTGTGTGCATCCAAACATGGGGGGAGACAATTTATCTTTCTGTCTTTGCTTGAAGTCGCTGAGAAAAACATGTCAAAATAAGACACACCAAGTGGGATCCGAGACCACGCGGGCAGCGACAAACAACCCAATGACATAATTTGAAGGCACGCGCACGAACGAGCGCTCGTTGTGCACAAACCATATAATTTATACTTTGCTACAATGAAAATTTATATTGTTTATCTTTGTCATTGTTGAGTTGAGAACAAATAACCACAATGAACGAAAGTGTAGCAGCTGAATGAAAGGAAGAAAAAACATTAAGTCGAGAAGAATTGGAAGCGGCCGCGAGAGTGAAGTGTGTTGGCACGAGTGTGCAATGGATGTGCCAAAATAAATGTTCGATAGCATTCTATGACAAGCATGAACGTGCGCGCGCGCGCGCTCACGTCCGTCTGCATTTCATTGAAAAGAGACGAGCGCAAATCTAGCGCAAATTGAGTGGAAAAAGTGGCAATCATGGTGGCTAATTAGTTGCAATTTGCTACGTAGTTTCCATATTGCCATGAAAGTCGGTCATTAATATATATGTCGGATTTCTTTTTATTTTCGATTTTTTTTGCCCTATTTTATCCTTTTGAGATTTCACTTTTATTCGGACCGGTTGGTTTCCGGCTTAATATGAATATTGCAATAGACGAAGGGGAAAAAAATGGAAGAAAATGCTTGTTGCTAGTTAGTGGACGTCTCAGTTGTAGTAGCGAATTCTTTTTTTGACGCTGATTATGTTCAAGCATCATTTTATGATGTATGAGGCATGCCCGGCAACAACGTTAAGAGCCTCATAGAGATGTTGTTGTTGCTGTTGCTATTGTTGTTGTTTGTGTGTGGCCAAGAGTGTGCTGGAGCAAGAGCAATAACCAACCGAATAAAGAAAGCCCACAAACATAAGCAAATAAAACAGTACAATATTTGCGCTTGCCAAGAGTTTTTCTTTTCGCTTTGCACATTTGATTTCCTTTCACTTTATGGTTATACAGCCATAATATGCACATTTGTTTTAATTCATTTTCATTGCAGCCCGTCATTCTACTCTCTGTATCTATCTCGTGCTTTTTTTCTCCTTTTGCCCCGATTCTACACATTTTGTTTGGCTTTTTTTCATTTTTACTTGGTGGCACCACGTTGGTGCACTTTTCCGTTCAAAATTTTGTCCGTTTTTACCACTACACAGTAAATATCATTTTTTCCGAAATGAAATTATTAAACTTCCACTGGCAATATTAATTAAGAGAGATTCGTTTATTTTTTTTTTTCAGTAGAAAAGAACTGATTTCTGGTATATGTTAGTGATGAACGAACATCACGTGTTATGCTTCGTCTGTTTGACACACAACCTATAGAAATCCCATAATGTGTTACTTTTTTTCCAGGTTTCTCTCGCTAACCGCATCCACTCACAATGTAACAAAATGACCACAGCGAAAAATTTACGAAGCAAAGAAAAAATGTCTCAATTCACTGTTGGCATCATCAAATTAAAATCATTTGAGAAACGTACAAACACACAATTTTAATTTAACATTCACAAGAACTTTCTATTATAGTGCTGGTTGAAGCTTGGCTTTAGCTAGAATTTGACTGATACTTTTTCATTCTGACTATCCAACTACAACTCATTGCAATTAGCGCATTTGCAGAGGAAAACACGAGCGAGAGAGAGAGAGAGAGAGTGAGAGAGAGAAATGAACAGCAAATCAAAAAAAAATGGTGAACATGCAGTATTTTCATTTTAGTTACTGTACATTTTGTTTACAAACATAACGTGTCGCTTTTTTCTGTTGGCTCCACTTTTTTCCCTGCAAATATTCTCCCTTGCTATAAATCCAAGAAGCAGTTGTTTGTTGTTTTTGTTTTCGTTCTTGCTGTCGCTGGCCATTGTGGTGTTCATTTTGTGTTCATTTCGATGTGCACTTTGTTCTCTCTCTCTCTCGCCATTTTTTCGTTTAATTATACAACATGCGGAATATTTGCCGTTGAAAATGCAAATATTTTGATGGGTTTTGGTAAACAAAAGTTGTGAATGAGTGTGTTTTACAATAATTTCAATCGACACTTCTTTGGATTGGTTCTCATTTGTTTACAAACGCTGGCGCGAGCAATGTTCTAATATTTTTAGCAGCCAAGGCAAACACCAGTTCATCATTTGGCTTTGAATGTGAATTAGTTTTTGCATGGAAATTATTGTTGGAATTGTTATTGATATGTATTGGTGTGGGTTCATGCGTTCGTTCGTACTTTGTAAAAAGATCGCACGTATTCCGCCGGAATCGTTTCCGTATGAATAATCGGCGTGATCTATTTGTTCTCTCTCCGTCGAATTGGTTTTGGAATAGTTGTTTAAGCTAACAAAATTTTATGACTGAGTGAACAATAAGACAATAGAGTCGTCGACGACGACAACATTGTTAAGCTGCTTTGCTCCAGATAAAACAACCATAAAAATCATCGTCACATGGCTCGCTTCGTAAATCGCACCGAGAAATGACAGAAAAAATAAAATACAGACAATTTCGAAGACTAAATAAAGAAAAAAAAAACTATCCGAAAAAATACATTGTTGATAAGACACAAATCGGGCTAGAAAAAATAGTTGTTCTTTTTCGAGCATCTTGTTGGTCTCTTATGGCGTTCAGTTTTCCAACCCAGTTTCGGTATGATGTTATTTGCGTCAATTTATGGTCTGCTAATTTGGCGGCTTTGACGTCACTACAGGTGAATCTCGTTCGCTATAATTTTCACCTGTATCATTCGTCGCTTGTAAATAACATCGGAACAGCAACTCTCCTTTGGTCCCATCAACCGGTGTATTCCTCTCCATCGCAGTATCTCTCACTCTCGCTCTCGCTCTCACTCTTATATTCCTATTGCGCATTCCGTGCCTTTTCTTTTTAATCTGACTAATATATCATCTATTTGACAGGCTTTTTTTACGCCTCGTGTCTCATGCTTACCCTACGCGCAATAGAATTACCTGACGCTCGCCTTAATACTCATATATTTCAATTTTCTATTTGCGCCATTTCAAATGAGAGATTTTTTTTTTTATCATCTTCTCTGAAACAAACATTTCGATTTGCAAGTTTGTTGTCTGAATGTTTTCAAAGAAGGGGAAAAAAGTACCGCAACCAGTCTAATTTTAGTATCTATTTTTGGTACGTTCCATTGTTTTTTTTTTCTTTCGCCTTCTGTTGCTTACGAAAAAGAGCTTTTGTTTTTGTTGTTGCGTGTGTTTGCGTTTATTCCTTTTTTGTTTATTGTTGTTTTATGATGATGCACACGCGCGTCGATTGACGCCCTTCTTTGGCTTTGTGACAAACATATACCGTACTCTACTCTCTTTTTTACACTCATCATCATGTCGACGGCGTCGACTGACCGACCAAACAAACTACGACCAATTGAGTCCAGCAAAGACATTCAGCTAAATTAGTCAATAAAAAATGGATACCAAATGAAATTCGAACTCGAAAGTCGTTGGTTTGTGTACATATTTTCATTTTACAAACATGCAAAATGATCGCAATCCGGCAAAGCTATCGTTCATTTCAAATGGACGTCATTGGGCAACATCGTTTATTTGCACATTTTGCTTGCTCAGTCCGCATTAAGGTCTATGTACGTTACGTTGCGTCCAAAATCTGTGCACATGATTTTTGCGCTTCGTTTCATGTGATGAGCAACAGCAAACGAACTACGGAATGCTTGATATGACAGACGTACTTTCGCCCATTGGCTAGAAAGAGACAGTTGCGTAAGATATATAAGGTCAATTTCCTGTATACACGCTGGGACGCTTGTTTGTTTGCATTCTTGTTTGTTTGCATTGTTTTTTTTTTTGCTGTCGTTGCTTCTTCATTCGTGCATTGAAACTAAGTTACCTTCTTATTGTTTGAACTAATTTCTTTTCTTTTCGTTGACTTGCAGCAAGCACACTCTAAACATTTTACATAAACAAACAATAATTAAATTGGTTAGTCAAAACATTTTTGGAGCAAAAGACGAGAGGGAAGAGAATGAAGCATACGATCAAACCAGAAATGTGTAGGGAAAAATGTGCGTCGTAAATAATTGATGGACGATGATTGCTCCGTCGGCACCAATTTACTTTCCATTTGATTTCGTTCCTGTATTTGTTTTCTTTTTCTCTTGTCAACAACAATCATTGCGCAAAACTTGGAACATTCTTTGGCCATTATTTCGGTGTTTTGTGCCATTGGACCTTTTTTCCCCATTATTTCATCAATTTGTTTTTTGTTCGTTTGTTGTTGTTTATTAATTTTTTTTTTATGCACAACAAAATTGGCAAAAAATGCTTCAATCCACTCGATTGATGACACGCATAATGCGGATGTATCAATCAAATTCTGATTATTTATATTAATGAAATTCCAAAATGGACAATAATAAACAAATATGAAGCGCCATTTTTCGCATAATTCCTGAGCTCTTTAATCTACATTCGATCATATAGTACATTCATCACGTAGCGCCAATGTGCTATTACTACGTTTGCATTTGACATATACAGAATGTTACCATGTGACAGTGATGAGATGAGTTTTCTACTGTTACAGTCTATTATC